ACTTTCTTCAGAACGCCCTCTGCAAAGTTCGCTGATTTTCTGCGATAAATCTAAGCTTAAGTGTGTGCTATAAAGAACACATGTTGTGGACCGTTATGAGTGTCTTTGGAGGGGAAATTAATGACCCCCGCAGCGCCCGACGTGCGCCAAACCAAACATACGCCAAGCAGAGCCGCATGTGATCACGATTTGTTCAAGGAATGCTCTCGGATGTAGACGACTTGATTACGTTCAGCTGGATCTGGGAACATAATAGCTCGAGAGGGGGGAATTTACACGAAAAATCGCCTAGGGTGGGGAAGTTCGAAAAATTTTGGGAGCCAGAGATGATTGCTTTTCATGTTTCAGTGTTTTCAACCAAACCTCAATTTAACCCTTCCAAAATCCCTAAATTTTGTTGTTAAATATTCAGCTGAAATGCGATTGGCACTAGTGGTTTATAATATATACACACAACTTTTCCGTTTTCAAAATAAATTTATTGATAACTAAGCAAAGATTGGCCAGTATTGTAGTTTTCCACAAAAACAACTTCAGTGACCTCAAGCTTATGACGGGATGATTCTTGCCCAAAATTAGCTTCTGTCTAATGTGACCTGATTGTAGAAGTGGAAAATTACCTGTGCTTTGAAAAATCGAGGGTAATTACACGAAAAAATCTCTGCCTGCTTGACCCCTTTAGACTAGAAATAACGAGGCGATTGTAAAGAAAAAACCGGAAAGGACGGCACTTTGATTTTGTATATTGCATTTTCTATGGAAAATTAGTAAAAATGATTTCTTCTTGAAGGGCATATAAAAAACTGTCATTTTCGCGAAAATTCTGGAATACGCGGGATCTGCTGGATTCGCAAATTTTGCGGGATTGATCCGTAACTTCTTTTGGAACAATCTGAATTGAAACTTCTAAAGAGAAGTATTTAAAATTTGTTATTACAAATAATAGAATCGACTCAAATCATTCAAAGCACATTTCTTATATTTTTATTAGTAATATTTTTCGAAATTTCGATTTCTTTGAACCGTAAAAAATTTTCTTAAAATATTTGATTCAATTCTTTGGATTTTTTTTTCATTACTATCATCTCACTTTATGTGTTGATATCTCCAGGACCATTTTTCCACAACAACCTCCACTTGACCATAACCAGTAGCCATAGCTTACGTGCTGCTTACTGTGGCGCAATTATATCGCAATCCTCTCATGCACTTCTGTTTACTTTTGCATGAATGAGATCGGATTTGTGCCTGACTATAGTGGCACTCAATCCCTGACCAAGAGGATCTAGGATCTATTTGTTCTTAGCATATCGCTTACGTAGTACCATCATACGTATGCAATCGATCCTCACCATGTAGGGAAGGAGCACTTTCGGTAGCAATAGGGCACATTTGAGGTGAAGGGGCTGAAGTAAAAAAAATCTGGCAGTTTTTCTCTAAGCTAATGTCTCCCTGGCAAAATGCCAACAGGAAAATATCCATTCAAAAACATTTTCCCCATAAAATTATGGCGGCGCCTTGAAGGGACCCTGATTTCGACCGCAAAGAGTGTGATGAGTATAATTACCCTGTCAGAACATCAGAGATAAGTATCGCACTTAGTAATTTAGTTTGGCGGGTGATCTCTAAAGGTTAACACTTCCATGGGACCAAAATGTCAGGTTTCTGACACTATCTAACACTATCTAACACTATCTATCATTAGATTGCAATCTCAGAGGCTTGGAGTTGGTATTAGAACCTAGAAAGCGTGGCCAAGAACGGTACCATCAAGGCTTTCTAGGCTACTA